AGCTATTCCAAATTTCCTTTTTGGTGCTTCTGTTCTGTGTTGTGAGACACTGTGGGTCAGTTTTGCATTGAGTCTTTCAGGTGAGAGAGCTGTGAGTGACACAAAGGTTAATCAGACATGGCGTTTGCCTTCAGATGGCTTAGAGTCAAAGACCTTCATAAGCAACTACCGACTGTTAATTTGTAGGGATATGATTCTAATTAGACAAGTATAAAAGACTGTACTCCGTGCTCATAGAGCAATTAAGAGCATGGATCACCAGCCATTGACATGACAAAGGTTGGACTTGTCTAGGTCCATTATAAGAGTTTGCACGCCAAGCGTAACTCGTATGGGCGGCATGACCCAGCACCCTGGAGGGTGTTAACTCAGCTGAAGGAGCAGAAGAAATCTAAGCACAATGCCCAGCAGATTAAGCTTCTTGCTTGTACATTAGGCAATGACTCTTATAACACCAGGATATTTGGCAACAGAGTCCTTGTTGAATGCACAGTAGAGAGGTATCAGAAAGTGAGTGAAGTGAACAGAGTCCCAAGTGTTCTTTGTCTTCATTTATCAGCTTCTTCCAATAGGTGCATCTTCATTGCACCCATGAAGGCTACTGCATTCATGCTTCAGCTTGTCTTGTCACCGAAATGCCTTCTTTTACACTGTGACACCCTTAATTGAATGGTGATGGAATTGACTCCCCATTTGTGTAAAGTGGAAGGATGACTTTACTTCTAACTTTTCAGTGAATAAAGAAAGCTTATGCAAATACCACAACCGTGGAGATGATCCTGTTTAACTATCATTTGTTTCAATAGCCAGAGGAATAGAAACACTGATTTTATTACTTATAAAATATTCGGCTCAATCTCGGGGAAGGGCATTTAAGGTATCCTCTCCACTATTGCTTAGATTCTTAGTTGAACTCCTGGAGTTCAGTTGTAGAGAAGGAGGAGTGATGAGCAAAGAATTCAAGACCATGTTGGGCAAACCCACAGAAACAGCTGACCAAATGGGAGCTCACTGACTCCAGACTGACAGCAGGGGAACCTGCATAAGACTGAACTAGGCCCCCTGAACTTGAGTATCATGTGAGGAGCCTGGGCAGTCTATGGAGCTGCTGGCAGTAGAACCAGCATTTATTCCTAGTGCATGACCTGGCTTTTTGGAGCCCATTCCCTATGGAGGGGTACCTTGCTCAGCCTAGATACAGAGGGGAGGGCCTCGGTTCTGCCCCAAGTGATGTGGCAGACTTTGATGATTCCTGGTGGGAGGCCTCACCCTCTCTGAGGAGTGGATAGGAGATGGGGTGGAGAGTGGGAGGACAGAAAGGAGAAAGAACTGGGATTGGTATGCGAAATAAGATTGTTTTTAAAATGAAAAATGAGGAAAAATATTGGGTTCAAATGCTATCCTCTGCATTGCATATATACATACACACATACATATCTATCTGTCTGTCTGTCTGTCTGTCTGTCAGTCTGTCAGTCTGTGTGTGTGTGTGTGAGTGTGTACATGCATGTATGTATGCATGTATGTATATATCCATCAGTGTCCCTCCTTCTGTTTGGCCTATTTTCGATGTCAGTGAACTTTAACACTTTCTTTGTCAGTGTCAGGGAACATAGATAAAAGAACTTACAATATCAGGTTCAAATAAGTTAATCAACTCTGTCATAAATGAGTACCATTTTAACCCCTGCTTGTATTCTTAAAAAGTTTAACAAAGATCAAATTGTAGGGTTGGTTTATTGAGTGTTAGTTAATTAAATGAAATCGTAATCCCATAAAATTCTCATAAAAAGAGCAGACAAGAGCCTGGTCTAGTGGTGCCTGCATAAAGAACCCAAGTATTTAGGAGGTTGAGACAGGGGGAGATGGCGCTTAAGACCAGCCTGGGCTACATAGTGAATGCAGGCTAGCCTGGGCTGCAGAGTAAGACCCTGAATCAACAATATAAATCAAGCAAAATCCAAAACCATGATTAACATTGTTTTGTTAACAGATAAAAGAAGTTTTATCTCTACTGTTTGAGCTTAATCTGTAGAAATTGCTTCTAAAAAGGGATGTCTTCAGATTTGTGCTCATGGTTAGCACAATAATCAGACGTGGCAACTTTGCAGGTGATTTTTCCAGCATTACTAGAATTCCCAGATCTTACTGATCTTCTCAGATAGGCCGGGGATTTCCTTTCATAACTTTCATAAACGTCTACATAGATACTTTTTCTGTTTGATGCACAGGTATAACACTGTTCTCTGGCAGGAAAAATTGTAACTATTCCCTCCATACAGATAGATAGATAAATAAATTCAGAGATAAATTGATAGACAGTAAGTAGATACATACATAGAAAGATAGATAGATGAATAGATACAGAGATAGATACATAGACAGTAGATAGATGATAGATAGATAGATAGATAGATAGATAGATAGATAGATAGATAGATGAAGGAAGAGGAGAAGGAAGGGGAGGAGAAAGAAGAGGGAGGGAATCCACCCATGACTTCAGCTTGTAGTGCTGTAACAGATATGAGCTACCATCTATCCAAGAGACGTCTGAACTGGTAGAAAGCTCACGTAGCAGCTTTGGTCCCTTTAGGAATGGCTTCTCTTCTTTAGTCTCTCTGGTCTAACTTACTAATTTGGGAAAAGCTTAGAGCAGGCCATGCAATATGCCACCAACACATAGCTTTATATTAAAATATAGTATAATAAATATAAATAAAATGGATTTATATGAAAATATTATCAATTAAACATCTTAGATATATTTACATTTTTTTCTAAATATATTCTTAACATGGGTTTTCATTTATTGACTTTGAACAGTGAAGAATATATAAAGACTTTATTTTTTTCAACTTTTCCTTTGGTAAAGACAAACACACTCAGTGAGACTAGGAACAGAAAACTGGAATTGAAAAATCATCCGCTAAAATTAGCAGTGAAAATAGGACCTTCAAATCCTTCAAAAATGAAACATTTTGCCAAAAGCTCCGTATTAACCTGAAAATAAAGCATTTTATTTCAGTATAACAACAGTTTCTAAAGATGGGCTGGCGAGACGGCTCAGTGGTATAGCGTACGCACTGCTCTTCTAGAGGACCTGAGTTCAGTTCCTAGCACCCACATTTATTGACTCACCATCCTGTAATTCCAACTCTAGGCAACTGACACACTTGTCACATAACATTTACACAGATTCACATATACAAACATATAAATGATAATAAAGATACATATTGTAAGGCATTTGAGAAGTTTGTGATAGATTCTGCAATAACTATGGTCACAGACTCCCTCTCTTCCCCCAAACCAATTCATAGGCACAACACACACACACACACACACACACACACCCTGTCCATGCTTAGAGAATAAAGTACTAATCCCCAGAAATTTCTTTTTCTTCAGGCAGACAATTCCATGAGAATGTTGATAAAATGATATATTTTATTGATGAATGACTAACCGGGAAATAGCTGTTTGGAAGAATTTCATAAGATGCAATTAATTAGAAATAATCACATAAATCAAGAAATGAAGAATTACTTAAAAGTTCAATGAAAGTTAGCACATAGGTGTTAGTGAATGGAAACGCTACAAAAAGGCTTAATGAGTCAAATTTATATGAAATTAAAAAATAGAGTATTTCATTATTTAGCAATAGACAGATATTCCTGTGGTCAAATGACATGCTATATAATACTCATTGACCTTTGCTATAGTCCAGATTGTGACATCAGCTGAACCTAAAAATCCATTTAAAAGTCTATGGAATAAGAGTCACATTTGACTGACAGCTTAGAAGTAAAGCTATTGAGGGCCATTTATAACTAAATAATACTGCTCACGACTCCCCGGCCGGCCTTTTATCATTCACTTCTGGGAACTGAACCCAGGACCTCACGCATGCTAGGCAAGTGCCCCACCATTGTGCAAAATCCTCAGCCCCATGACAACTCTTGATAAACAAACTAAATTCAAAGCAGCTAGCATATAGTAAACCCAAACTCTAACTTGTTGCAATACGAATCCAACATTCCAGCTCAAAAATTAAGCAAGTAAAAACGAATAAGAGCTACGGCCTGCCAAGGCTGGAGGGGGATTTACCTGGCACTAGCCTTTCACGATTACGTTTATCCTATTTGAACACTGAGAGAGGCTATGGCTTTAAAACATATTGCTGAACATGAAGTTGATATATTGGTGTGACACATTTATCAACTCTACGAGAGAATGAATGACCCGTAGAGGGGCAACAATGAATCATTGCACTGTGTGGTCTGACCACCAGATGTACGGCTGGTGTGCCACATCCTTATTGAAGGACAAGGACAGCGATAACTACACTTACCCCTTCATTATGCTCACTCCCTCACCTGCTATATTAGCTATAAATCTCCTGTGCTTGCAGTTTTTGAAATTTGCAATGGCATTTTAATTCAAGTTGCAAACAACATTAGGATTTTGGTGTTAGTTGGATAGAGTCTGACAACATCTGGAAGGGAAGAGTGTCCTAGGACAGCCAGGCTCGCCACAAACATCTGCAATCCTAAAGTATACAAATACTTCCGTGGCTTTAACACATGCTATCAGTCTGTCAATCAAAATACCCAAAGAAGGGGAAAGCGTTCAGACTGAAAATCCAGACACATCTGGAATATTTAGTCCAAAGCTCCATCCCACCAAAGAGAATTTGAACAAATGAAAACAGCAGCTATAGGACTTTCTTAAGTTCAGTATTTTTTTCAGAGTGACCAACCATTGTCTGGGTATCAGGGATTTGATATGAGTGGACACTGGGGCATTAATATGATCGGGAGTCTTCAATTAAGGAGAGAAACACCACTTAAAATCCCAGTTCATAAAAACCACCTTGTCATTAACACAAACTTTTAATGGTTTAGCATAGAAGTGCCTGCAAATAGCATTCTCTGAAAAGTCCTTTCGTGGTTATGCTGAGGCTACAAGGTGAAGGATGGCTTTTAGCAGAACCCACTTACCAGGAAAATGAGTAGCACCGCAGCAGTTCTGAAGGAGTGCCAGTCCATCGCTGCGGCTGGCTTCTGTTACATCCACGGCCGAGGGAGTTTTGCTTGTTCTTCTCTGCTCTTTTTCTTTCTCCCACTCAGCTGGTGTCTGATTAAAATAATTTCCCAGTAGATGTTCTTACATGCAGGCTTTGAGGTGTTTCTGCCTTCTACTGGGAGAAGGAGGGAAGGTACGTATAACCAGTCTGGATCCCCACCCTAAAAACTTGGGCTGGTCTCCGTGAAATGCTTGACAAGATCATCATTGCTCCCAGGTAAAAACTCAGGGACACACCCTTCTGCCAGCTGGAAAGCTGCTCTCTGTGAGGGTAGGATGTGCCTCCCCTCTACTGAAGGCTTTTGGTGGCAGATTGTCAAAATGGCCAAAGCATGGGGGTTCCCGTTCATGGAGAGGGCTTCTCAGCTCTTTACAAGTTAGTTCCTCATCAGATTAATAATGCAAGTATATTCGGAGTATCCGTGCCATTCATAGGCTTGTACAGCTGATATTCAGAGCCAAACCCTCAGGTCACAGAAGAAAATTATAAGCTTTTCATTTTAGTAGATGTTAGGAAAGATGCAGCTATTTCTTAAGTTGTTAAGAGAAAAAATTGCTAATGATCAGTGAGGAATTTTTTTAAAGAACAGGCAAGGCATAACCCTTACAATCATTGTGTTCTTTGCATAATTCCTTTCCATGACCTGGCTAAGTCCAGGGTGATCTCCATTTTCACTCCATGGATATTTTTTTCTCCCTCTTTAAGAGTCTGTACTGTTAAAACACAATAATAAAACAATCTGGAAAATTTAGCTAAGGTAGTTTTAAAGGAAACAACCACAGCCCCCCAGTTAAAATCCTGTTGAAGTCCAGTGTTGAAAGACAAACGAGAATATGGAAGATGCGCTTCAGGTGACGTGGGTTAAAAGTTGGGGACGATTCCCAAGCGCAGGGCCAAGACTCTGCACAGCAAGCCAATTAGAACACAGGGGAATGCTGCCCACACACGCAGCAAGAGCAATGTTACAAGAGCCTGAGGTTAGCAAGAATGTTGACCCAAACAAGGCAACATTCAAAACTCTCTTGGGATATCTTCCCCTGAATACTGTCTCAGGAGCCTACTGGAGCTGGATGTCTTCAGGGTTTGCTGCGGCACCCTGAAGCAAGGCCTGTGTGATAATGTGTAGATTATTGTCGGAGAGTGCTAAACATGTCCCAGAAAAGAGAGCTCTCTGGGGGCAAGTCTACAGAATGTTGTCATTTTGCTCTTGGTATGTGGCAACAATACTTGACAGTGGTTTGAGAAGTCACATGACTCATTGTAATACTCAGAGGGGTGGCAAAAAGGATCCTGTGTTTGCAGTGAGTAAAAATGCTTGTGGTAGGGATTGGTTGAGGTGAATAAACAAAATAAGAAATGAGCAGACCAAATTCCTCATTAATAAACGAGAATATGAGTGTCTGTCTATGACACTCCAAAGTATGACTTAGTTTCAGCAATGCATTAGTAGGTAGATCATGTGGCCAGGAATGACAACACTCACTGGGCACCAAACACAGGAGGTCTGACTCTTGTAGGCTGTCAGTGACAAAGGAAGGTTCTATCCATCTGGAATTCTGGGCTTGATGCCAGGGAGTGCATGGACCTTCTTCATCCATTGAATTATCTTTCCCTGAGCCCATCCCTGGATCCACCCTAACTCAAGGCTCTGTTTCAACAATCCCAACCAACCAGATGGTTTGGGGGACAGCAACTTATCTAGCAGCTTTCTGGGGAGGAGATAGGGCGGGGCCCCAATATTAGGGAGTAGTGACAGACTCAACAGGAGAGCTGGCTACAAAGTGGGGAGGGTGCTTATGAGCCATGTTTCTCTTCCTCTGCCTCTTTTCCAGCTTTTCATCTTTCAGGGCTGTCTAAGTTTCTACAATGCAGAACTTTTCTCTGCTCTGTCCAATATGGAGGCTGCTGACTGCTAACAGAGCATTTGGAAGGGGACCATTGCAAGAGGGGAAGCGCACTGATTTACTTAGTATGTGGTGTATATATGCATTCATATGTCTGCGCTCCTTTTGTTCCCGTTTCCAACTAGCAGAGTTTCTTTACATAGCCCAAGCTGGCCTTGAACTTAGTGCCTCCTCACCACAGCCTCCCTAGACTGGGCTTGCTGTTGTGTGACACCATATCTCCTTATCCTTTAATTCCCTTTCCTTTCAGGAGTTCCATGTGTCGTGGGCCTAGACGCTTTCCCTGACTCTGTACTCCTCCCCTGTCCTGAGGCTGAGGAGAGAGCACACCTTCAAGCAGACTGTGTGGCTTTTCTTCCTCTTCATGCATTTCCAATTCTTTCAGGTGGTCTCTGTAGCCCCTTCCTCATCGTGTGTGACTGCTACTCAGTCTATCCATCTCCACACAATCCAAATCTCCCCTCAATGTTGGTGATTATGTAGATGAATTTTATTTCATAGAAACTTTATGAAATTTGGCAGGGGGAGAGGAAATTTTTGAGTTGGAGTTTCTTGAGTAAGCTGACCAAGTTTTGCAATGGGATCAGAATTCTGGAGAAGAGATTTCCCTTTTCCTTGATAATACACTGTGAACCCCAGAATGTCACCTGAAAAGGACGATGTTTCTACATTTGCTCAGCACTTGGGATAGTATAACCTTTTCTTGGAACACACATACATGGACACACACACTCTCTCTCTCACACACACATATGCTCTTTCTCTCTCCCTCTTTCTCTCTCTCTCTCTCTCTCTCTCTCTCTCTCTCTCTCTCTCACTCACTCACACACACCCTTAAGGATAATAGATTTTACTGATCTTGAATTCTGTTGGCATAGTTAATGGAACCCTTTATTTATCTAACCTTGTTTGCAGAGTGCCCACAGCAGGTATCACATTTTAGAGAAACCTTTGAGGCTATGCTATTTTGACCTATGTGAGCCTCAAGCTTCAATATGCGTCAAAATTATCCTACCCAGCTCCACACATTATCTTATATAGAACAGATGAGGGGGTTTCAACCCCAGGGCTGCATCACCCCAGCCAGTGGTGTGGGCCTGTAATTGTGAACTCAAGAGAAGAAGCCGAAGGACTGATGCTCTGTGGTCCTCAGCTACATAGTGGATTTGAAACCAGTTGGAAACATTTGTTTTACATCTGTACTGACTTTCCAGTGATACATTGTTTCACATTGCTCAAAATGGGATAGAGCTTTAAGGGTAGTATCATGCACAAAGATGCCCATGAAATAAGTAGGTGTGTGTGTGTGTGTGTGTGTGTGTGTGTGTGTTCAAAAAAGCAGCTTTGGTTGTAGTTATGAGGCTGTTTGGGAAGTTTAACAGGATTATTAGTGATTTAGTATTAGGTTTTCCAGGATAGGTCACATTACATATTTATATATGCACACATGTATATGTCATATATGCTTAGTTATAAAAGGAACTCTTGTGATCACATAGATTCCTTCTGTCCATTCAGCAATTAAAAAAATGAAATAAATACAGTAAAATATTAACAACTATTAATGTTCAGTGATAGCATAAGGTATTCTCTGCTTTTTGTTTATTTGAAACTTTTTATAACAAAATAGAAGTAACAGAGTAGAGTAGGCATGAAAAATTACAAATATAGATCAAATCTGTCTCTGCCTGCTTTGTCGATAATTGGAATGCTGCCAGCCTCACAGGATCTGTGGGTAGTTTTATTCTGCACAAGCAGAATGAGTTTCGGCAGAGAACAGCTGGTCTGTAAAGTTTAAAGTAACAGTCTAGTCTTTAGACACAGTGGTGACTGATGTTTGTTCAAAATAGTTTTCAATAAGAGCTTTGAGAACAGTTCAAGAACAGGTATATTGTTTTTCAGAGATTGTTGCTTTTGTTGTGTTTTTAAAATTCGGTTCCACCAGCATTGCTTAAGACTATTATAGACTGAAATGATTGTGGGGGGAGGTAAATGCAGATCACAAAAGTTCCCACTTTTTTACCATTGGTTAGAGTGTGAGCTGGTGCAGCCCTTGTGGAAATCTGGATAGGATAGACACTATGACTCATTCATACCATTCCTGTGCATATTCCCAAAGGACTCTATGCTACTTCAGAGATGCTTCTCGTTCATGCTTGTTGATGCTATATTCACAACAACCAGGAGATGGAAACAGCCTAGGTATCCATCAGCTGATGAAGGAATAATGAAAAATGTGGTACATACATACAATTGAATATTACTAAGCTGTAAAGAAAAGTGAAACTGTGAAATTTGTAGGCAAATAGATGGAGCTAGAAGTTACCCCTCAGAGTGAAGTAATCCAGACCCCAAAAGACAACCTCATGTTCTCTCTCGTACATGGACACCAGCTTTGAATCCTTAGATATGTGTGTATAAATAGGATTACATGTAGAAGTCAGGAAAGTAGAGAGGACCATGGGAGGTGAATTTAATGGGAAGGGGATAGAGCACAGGTGAAGAGGAAAAGGGAATAATAGAACAGGAAGGACCAAATGGGGTCGGGAGTGGGACCATAACCTAGAGGTGTGGGGAAGCCTTAACACTTAAAATCTTTGAAAGATCCAGCTGGAATCTGCTATTTTGGAAACTTCCTAAAATACATGCATACAGATAAGGGGACAATGCTACCCACAAACATCATAAGCTATTAAATGAGAAGCCCAGTTCTTGGGACTCTAATAGACACCCCAAACTTTGCAAGCTATTGTCATTTGTCTTGGATATTCTGCAGAACTTGATTGTGAGACTGTATTGCTGAAGACACCACACACTTGGATATACAGCCAAGGAGAAACCAAGCTGGCACTGACATGGAAGCTTCATTCCCTAATGCCTAGCTTTTGTAGTGCTGGTGACCTGTGCACATTACCAGGGAAGAAAAGTCATCAACAGACTCACCAGCCAGCTGCCGACACTGAAAGCTAAGATAATAGCTGGCTTAGCAACATATGCTCCAGTTCAATACTGGCACAGATGTTATGCCAGCAACTGTGTTGGGTTGAATGAGAACCGCTCCCATAGGCACATATGTTTTAATGCTTGGTTCCCAGTTAGTGGAGCTGTTTGGGAAGGACTAGGAGGTGTGGCTTTGTTGGAGGAAGTGTTTCACTGGGGTGGGTTTGAGGTTTTAAAATCCCATGTCAGGCCCAGTCTCTCTCTCTCTCTCTCTCTCTCTCTCTCTCTCTCTCTCTCTCTCTCTCTC